ACACGTCCGGAGTTGTTCTGGAACAATTCATGGCTTTTGTATCACGATGCTGCACCTGCTCACTCCTCATTACAATTTTTTGACCAAAAACAACTTCGTTATCATAAGACAGCCACCGTATTAACCAGATTTGGCCTTAGGCGACTTTTCCTGTTCCCAAGTTCCAAGAGACCCATGAAAGAACAGCGTTTTGTGACGATTGAGATGATAAAAACCGAATCGCTGAGAGAGCTGAAGGACATACCAAAAAGTGCATATCAGTGCTTTGAGGATTTGAGAAAACGCTGGAACAAGTGGATCATATCTGACGGCGACTAATATGAAGGGGACAAAATAGAATTTGAGGTAGAAATGAATATTTTTGAGAAACATTATATTCACCTCATTTTTTGAAGAGGAGAACTGATACTCGAACCCTGATTTTTATAAAGGATTATTTCAGGAACAAAACAATGATATATAAAAAATAAAAGTTATTGTATGTTTATGCACCTTCCCCCAGAATGGTTTTTGGACAAATATTGTTAAAATCTCATGACAGAGATAACAGATAAAAAGGTATTCGGTAGATTGAAAATTACAGAATCCATAATTTGCTGAGCTTTGAAAAATATGAAATGTTTTATATTAGTGAAAATATCATCTTCAATACTTTTGTTAATGATTAGAGATAAAGTAAATTCAACATTTATACTATCCTCCAAATTTTCAGTTGCGATCTGGGCGTTACTTGAGGTTGTATTTAATTTTAACCACAGTAACCTTTCGAAATTATTTTTTACAGAATTGAAACTTGAGAATAATAGTTTGGAAGTATAAATGGAGTTATTCGAAATGATACCGTAAAATTGGGTTACTTATGCGACCGGAATATCTTAGACCAATTTCTTACCCATTTTGAAATTAGCGGTATCAAAAATAGATATTCATGCACACATGGCATCCTCATTTTCATTGTACAATGATATTTTTCATGACTCAATTTGAAACTTTGTGTGACTGAAAAGTTAGTATACGACTTCAGTATGAATTATTTATTATTTTCTTATCAAAAGAATTTGTAATGAAGTTTGTTTCTTTGTTTGTTTCAATGTGTAAGTTGGATTGTCATTTGTATTTGTTCAACATTTTTTTTTTCTATTTGAGCTGTTTATGTTCACGATAAAGAGAGCTTCAAAAAAATTAAAAGGTGAGACTATTATAGAATTCCTTGAAGCGTCTGNTTCTTTCCATTTTGATATTGTGACTTGTAATGCAGACTCGCATGAATGGTGTTTTCTGAAACCTGACTGATATTTCAGTAAAATATCACTATTCTCTAGATATTTAATGAGTTGATTACAAACTGCGAGTTCTAATATTTTTTCAATACAAGGCAAAGTGTTGATTGGTCTTACTTCCCAAGATTTATTTTTGTTAGGAACTTTCTGAATTGGCACAAGGACACTGGTTTTGAGCTCCTTCGGGAATCTGCTAATGCCAGTGCCCATGATTATGGGAAAACTTTAGCCACTTTCATTTAATTTTTTTTTATTTTGAGTGTAGAAAATTTCTAAATCTACGCATGTGTTAGTGAATAATATAAAAAAAATGTTTCACAAAATCTGGCTAACAATTGGTATTTTGTGAAAAAAATATGTATAAAAATTGAAAGTAGCCTGAGTATCCCCATTTTACTAGAAATTGTATTTTTTTAGATTGATTTTGGTATCAAAGAATGAATTCTATAAGTTTTATATTGGATGAATTGAAAATTTAATATTTCTTTAATCACGGTAATTAAATTTATTGCACTATAATTGATTTAGGAATGATTTCATGTCGTATAAGTACGCAAATAGTGGTTAGATTTTTTGTGGGACTCTTTCATCTCATTTTTGATATCTTTCAATGGAATTTTCAATTTTATTGTTAGCTATATTCTTTTTCAGTGATGAGTGGTTAACTTTTTAGGTCTAGAGGGGCTCTAGCCTCACAATTGTTTAGTGATGCTCTCTCAACGTTGTTCATAGATTGATTGTTGCAATTTCACTCACAGAACATCAATTCATTATTAACAAAAAATGAAAAAATAAAAATTAAAAGATTTCAAACCAAGTTAAGTTACAACGTTTCGATTGTTAGTATCCACAATCGTCTTCAGGTGATAACTGGACTCATTCCTTCGAGATCTGACTATTTATAGGTCATTCGAGTGCTTTCACCTATCCTCTCTTTCCTATTTCCGCTTCATTGGTTTTGGCAGGAGATGACCGTTTGGCGGGAGTTAGTCGTTTTTCGCTTGATTAGAGGTTTCCGTATGTTACGTATCTCTACGCTAGCCTGACTGAATGCGTTGTTGGACAACATATACGGGGCTTCTTTGAATTTTCCCCTAAACCAGTGTTCCTCTTTGTGGATGATATCAGCTTGAGCCCACTTGATGTTGTGTTGATGAATCCAAACATGCTCTATTATTCCGGATTTGCTGGTTTCTCCTCGCTGTGTGTGTTTCTTGTGGTCAGCAATGCGAACTTTCAATGGCCTCTTAGTTTCACCAATGTATGATTCTCCGCACTCGCAGGGTACCCGATAATTGCAATTCTTGGAATCGCAGTCTGCGTTTGGTGGCCTGGTTTTCGTGAGGCTGCTACAGATAGTGTTCCCAGATCTGAAGCAGGTCCTGATGTTATACTTGGACCCAATCCATCTTATCCTTTCCGATAATCCTCTGATGTAGGAAACAAGTACTGATTATGGCGGCTTCTCTTCTTTGTGGAGTTCTTGCTGTCTTCTAGCTAAGACCTGTTCTACCATCACTTTGGAGTAACCATTCCGTTGAAGGTAATTTATGATGATACCTAATTCCTTTTCGAGACCTTCCATTGTATTACAGAGCCCAAAAGCACGGTCCAGTAGAGTCTTGATGATTCCTTTCTTAGTTGATTGATGGTGGTTGGATTTTTGGTTCAGATACTGTCCTGTGTCAGTGGGTTTTCGATATACAGATGTTTCCCATTCAGTGTCGGTCCTCTTCACCAATACGTCTGAGAAAGGCAATTCGTTGTGGCTTTCATTCTCCATTGTGAAAGTGATGCAAGGCCTTACGTTGTTGATGTGCTTCAGGAAGGGGGGATAGGTGAAGGCACTCGAATGACCTATAAATAGTCAGATCTCGGAGGAATAAGTCCAGTTATCACCCGAAGACGATTGTGGATACTAACAATCGAAACGTTGTGACATAACTTGTTTTGAAATCTTTCAATTTTTATTTTTTCATGTTTTGTTGATGATATTTTTAATTTTTTCAATTTTGTTTTCAGCTTATATTAATATTTCAATTTTTATTTGTTTGGTTGTTGTTGTATGTTATTTCTTTGTAATTTCAGTTTTTTGTTTAATGAAATTGTTATTTTCGGTTAATCTTTTTGATTTCTTTCAGGGTTATCAAATCAATTTATATTATATTAGACAATGGAAGTCCGAACTGATGAAATACAAGTTAGACCTCGTTAATACTCAACTCCTGAAGGCTGTCGTAATGGAGCAACTGCTGGTTAACTAAAAACATATTTTGAATTGTTTCACGAATTGTTAAAAAAAGTAATCAACATTCATATAATAACAGACTTGGATTTACTCCAGTGGAAAAACATTTTGTTCAGTGATGAATTTTCATTGCTTCCAAATTAAGAATAAAAACTAAGTTGCTTCCACCATATGAGTATATACGTCATAAAATTTTGATTCAGAAACATTCATTCTCAGTTAGAAATACAAGAAACTAACATGATTTTTTTTAAAATGAAAGGAGTAACTTTTAGATACCTCGATGATCTAAGCTCACTTTGTCGGAATAAACTCAATTCCCTGATTTGAGTTAACCTGGCTTGAATACTGTAGATCTCTTTGACTGCTTGAATCAACAGTAAAGTCAGCATTAATCGCTTTTCTTGAAACCCCTACGTGAATGCTTGCATTTATTACTTTGGTAAGTTGTCGAAGAATTGTCAGAAATTGGTAGCCAACTGAAAATATGTTGTGTCCTGAACAGCTTCATCGGAAGATAATAATTTCTACCAATAACTGGATACACTGTACAATAATTAAACCTAACTTTATTTCACTTTCAAAATAATATTTTAACTGATCATTTTAAATGTCTATCGTCTTATTAGATCGCCCTGTACCTCACTGTCCGCTTCATGTATGACACCGCTACATGTTGAGCCGAGTGCCAGACATCATGAATGGAGGGTGAATGGGAGAAGAAAGAATGAGAACAGAGCGAAGGGAGAGGACAGAATACTCCAATGGTTGAAAGGAATGTTACTGGAGGAGAGGGAGGACGAGAGAGTGACAAAAGTGTATGTGGATGCTGGGACGAGATTGGAAGACGAACGCCCAGCATAGGCTGGGCGTACAAACAGAAAGAAAATGAATGAGTACAGGGGAACGGAAGAATCCCCGGACAGAGTAGTTGAACGAGGCAGAGTAGTTGATAGCAAGCGAGAATGTGATTGGTATGTGGGATTCGAATGAAAGCCTGACCGTGATAAGGGATTCTGCTATGGCTATGGAACGTATAAAAGCAGGAAGAACGAGGAACAAAAAAGTAGTGAGAATACAGAGGATGATAGAAGAGAGGAATGCGAGGGGAGCGCGGACTTGCTTGATCTGGAAGCGCGGGCACGAGATCAACAATCTCGAAAACAAGAAGGCTCATGAGGAGGCGACGAAAGGCATGAGGAACTTCGAGGTCATATGGGATGTAGTGAGAATGGGTAGTAACAATAAAGAGAGGAAGGGGATCAAAGAACGAATCAGGACAGAGTGGCAGAGGAAATGGGACACGGGAGAGACTGGGCGGCTGTTCTGCAGATTCTGCAGAATGGATGGATATAGGACTGGATGGCGCGAATGGAATGAATATAGGGAGCTGGAAAATGAAGAGATAACATTGAGAAGAGAGAACTGAAGGAAAAGCAAAAGGATAAGGTTTATTAATGAATGAGCAGAGAATGTGGCGAGGGATGAACGAGAAGGGTAAAGGGCAGGCTGTGAGCTTAGCGCCAATGAACTGGAGGGCAGACGGCGGTCTCCCCAATCATGGTGGTCTCAGATGTTGTAGTGCTATCTAACTATGAATATAATATTGGAATCCATAATGTAATCATGATTGTAAATGTTATTTTGGGAAATGAAGAAGGGTCTTCTGCCCCCGCTGGTTCGTCCTCTCGTGTGGTCGACGTCACGCGTCGAGTTCAGAGGAGTAGGGATTCCCTTGACAGTGGTGGCGATAGATAGAGGGAAGATGCTCCATTAAAAGGCCTCCGGCCAGGGCAATAACGAGCTATGGCACTATTCATGTCCGTGAAACTCGATAGGCGAGTAGGTCGCATCAAAATTTGGCAATCGAAGGCGGTAGAACATTCTCCGGAATTTCATCGAAGCCGGTAGCATTATTCTCGCCACGTCTAGAACGACCGCGAGCGCAGGTTGAGTGGAACACGTCACAAATGATTTATGACGACCAGCGGCGACCGGTCTTATTTTCTTCAGGGCGATACGAGTCTAGTACCAGGTACAATTCGTTCGTGGAACGCTCAGATCAACTGCTGCAGTGGTTGTCGTTAGGAATTTGTCGAAAAAAATTTACCCCACCAGAATAAAATTACTGTGTATTTGTCTTAGTCGTTCCTGCTAACTTGGTCAGCGAAACATGCTTGAGGTGGTGGTGTTTTCGATATACTCGTTTTACTGCAGAGGTTATAAATTATATTTATCAAGTTGTCTTTCCGCATTGTCGAACGTGTAGGGAATCACACGTTAAAAGGCAAGACCTTTTCAATCCTTAGCTCGCACAAGTTTCGACTTCTGAGGGTTGTCGTTCGTAGGGGTGCGACAGCTGGTTAACGGAAAAACAGATGTTTTTCAAACAGATTTGTTTGGAGTTTTCTCAACATTTCATCAACACTAATGGCTGACATTTCAAGGGTTCCTTTGGATGTGTATGATTCTGGTTTCATTCAGATTCTGATGAAGTACTTACAGCCAATTATTATTACATCTTACATCTGAAGTGATGGATTTTCAGAAGCAAAAAACATACAATTGACAGATAGAGAAATTCTTAGAAAATGCACGGTATCCTTCGTAAAAACTATGTTCCTGACTCATTATCGTAATAGACTCATTTTAAATATTTACTACACTATACTACAGTATATTCACCGTTCCAAGTTATTTGTTGTTGCCCTAGTCCATTATTCTTTATCTGCGGCGCAAATGAAAGAATGTTATTTGTAACCTCATTAAAGACTAGTTTTAGTTCACCTATCTTAGGGAATTTCATTATTGCGAATATAACGAACTGAATGAAATTGTAGTTTACTGCTTCACTCACATTTTGCTACGTTCAATATGTTGCATTCCCTGTTGGCGTTCAGCTAGATATATTCTGATAGATACTACAGTTGAGACATTACGAGTAAGTGGACTGGTTGACCAAGGTTTATGACGACTACTGGGATTCGCACAATGATGCTGACATGGGAGCCCATTATCTCGTTTGAAGTTGATCTAATTTCGAACTTGAAGATCTTTTACGTTTTGAGAGTGTTAGCGCACTTTTAAAATTGATGTATCTCCTAATTCAGAAAAAAATATTTGATGAAAAAAATCATTTTGATAAATGAACTGAAAATATTTTTTGAGTTTTGAGATTTGATAACGTATTTGAATAACAGTTTAGATTTTTACCAAATGTTCAATGAGAAAGAAAAATAGTTCAGATGGAAAACAAAATACACCAAAATAGAGTTATTACTACATAGTATAAAACTCGCTTCCCGCTGTCTGTCCCTAGGTATGCTTATGTCTTTAAAACTTCGCAACAGATTTTGGTGTGAGTTTTTTTATTAGATAGGGTGATTCAAGAGGAAGGTTTATATGTATATAACATGCATAATATGGTCGAGATGAGAAGAAGAGAAGAGAGTATATGTCTCTTTCTCAGGGATAACCCACAATAACTAGTTTTTATTCTCGATAAATTATATTTATTCCTTATCCAATCAAGTACCTTTAATTCATTGTGCATCTGTTATAGATCAATATGGCCCTTCATATCATGTAAATCGACGATTATGACGACCATGAAATGCGCGGACGTTGTCTTAACAGAACACCAATATTGATAAATCAATTCTAACATTTGCACGTGTTGTTGAATGCTATATCCATTCATGGTTATTTAATGAAACAGACTGAATTGATAAAAATAATTTGACATATATACCTACAACAAGATGGCTGTTATAAATCGTCAAAATTTGAAAGTCCTTATTGGAAGACCCTATAAATTTTTTGAGCTCATCTAGTTGACCTGTAATGAAACTGGCCGAAACAGCGGCGAATCTCATTCGGTGGTCGATTGTCGAAGAATTGCAATAGACTACCTTGGAAAACTCGTTCAATTTTGATATTAGTTGAGACGTCGTCAGGAAAGATGTCATTACTTACGTCTAGCAATGCATTCCTATAGACCTTTTCATCACAATTTTTTTGTGCGCATGCCTCAGTATCAGCCATCTTTTTCGTACTGTTTTTTGTAAACAACTATGCTAAAGAGCCCCCAACTCATGTTTTAAAAATTGAAATTTAAATTGAAGTTTATTATTTGTAAAAAAAGTGAAAAAAGTAGTAAGTCAAAATATTCAGAAAAAATTTTTTATACTCCATTATAATTATGTTATCTGTAAGTTGTTATGGATTATGTAAAAGTGATACACGATAAAAATCAATCAAAATCAACACATACTATTTTATAAATTCATCATCAAGAAAATTACATATCAAAGCATGTGCAAAATGTGCGAAATGTGAATTATGGGTGAAAAAATGTGGCAGGAGTGACCGAGGCTTTAAATCTATTGATGATGTTACCAAGGATACTTAATTAGATATAGGAATAAAATACTTCGTCTAATTTCCACTTACTTAATGTATTGATATTAATACGACCAAGGTTTAGGTTTTACACCATTCCTTTTACACCACCGAAACCTTGGTCGTATTGATATCAATACATTAAGTAAGTGGAAATTAGACAAAGTATCTTATTCCTATATCTAATTGAAGATGAATTTCCACAAAATGAGTAAGTCATCAGTATTACAAAATACTTATATTTGCTCACCACATTTCATTGGAGAAAGTGGTCCAACTAAACAAACCCTGATCCTTTGAGCTATCAGGAATTTCAACATACCTACGTACATTATTCCTTATTGCATTTTTGACTGCATATATGACATTTAATATATATTATGTTGTATTGAATATTTTCCTCTAATAGAAATTACAAAACATATTCAATTCAAATTGAAGGGGTTTTATTTTTAGGGTGATAATTTTTTTGTATCAGATGGAGTAGTAGAAAGCCAAAAACTTCCTTTCCCATATTCAATTCAGTATTTACATATTTGTCTAATTTATAATGTCATATTTTCCTTCAAATATCCCTCAAAATATTAATGTCTTGATTTATTTATTAGTTCCATAAGTAATACTCTTGTCAACTGAAATATATTTTCAATTACATCGAATAAATTGACATTAATAATAAGAATAAAACTGTAAATACTATTTTTTTAATATGCTTTTAGATAGTAAACAAATGCTGATACCTAACCTCTCAATCAGCTCCCTTTCTTTCCTTTTTGCGGACGCTCATGACGTTTTAACCACCTTTTTAATTGTTCACTATTTTGAGCCTCAACTGAATTATAAACAAGTGAAGCACCATCAATGTTTTTTTTCCAATAATTTTTTTGTTTGTAGAGATAATATTCCTTGCCTAAACTTCATNTCTCAGACAAAAACTAATGAATCTTGTAATTTTGTTTCCTGTTGCTCAATTTTCAAAACGTCTTCGATGAATGTCAAAGCAAACAGGTTGAAACAGCTCTATCTGGAATTTAATTAAGAACGCTTCGTTTTTGGGCTATGGTTTCATTTAGTTACCTTGCAGTGAAACCTGCTATGGATGTATCTCGCTTGGATTTTCAACGGACCGCCTTGTTTATCTTTGATATTCGCGAGTTGAGTCTTCCATCGATCCTATAGATGGCGTATTCATAAAGAGAGACGTCATTAGTATCAACTTCTCATTACCTCGAATTCAATTCTACATACGTGTGAGTGATTTTGGATATGTTTCCATCATATCATTATTGTATGAATAATAGTAATTGTTATTTGTTAATAAATGAAAATATCAATTTTTGGAAACTAATGCAATAAAACTTTGGGTTGATTTTCCTGAAATTATTTCTTTATTGATAATTTATTTTTTGAGCATTATGTTATTCAAAAGATGCAGTTTGTCAACGCATAGAGTGTAAAATGAAAGTAAATATCTAGACCTAGAGTTTTATTATTTGTAGATATATGAATAGTTGTTGGAACATTATTTCATAACAATTTTTCTGCAGAACTATTGCTGAAAAATCATATTATATTCATTCATTTACGAATACAGCTTCAATATAAAATCCTCGAGTTTTCATTTACATTTCACTGTTATGGCAAATCACATCCAACGCAGCTGATCATTAACCATCTATTGAACCTCGTTATCTTTCTGCTTTACAATGCCAATCAACAGAAATATCACATAAACCGGATGAGCTTATCCCTAAACGATGAAATGCATACATCTATTATTTCTAATCCAAGTTAATGATGATCAGATTATCGCAATTGCCAGTACTTCGAATAATATGAGATGCAGATTAGGGCAATACTTAGTCAGGTTTTCGCTGGACCTCTAAAAAGAATGATCGGCGCCTGTGTCGCATATATTTTCGGATTTTTTGAATCCAACCTTCAATCAATATTGTAAAGTATAACAACTCTCACGTATCAGTTGTGATGGTATATGGTATATGCATGATATATTAGAATATACTGTGCGATAACAAAAACGATACAGATTGATTATTTTTGAGACATGTGTGTGTTGAGAAAAAAATGGAAAAACTAGTTGACTTTTCAA